GGGACTGCCCTTCTGCAAAAGTGCCGCGGGTAATCCTTAGGGCTCGAAGGAACGTAAGGGCCCTTTCGTTTTTCAGTCGATCCGAGGGCAATTCGTGTCGATTCAAAGGCAATTGGCGTTTTTCAGTGGATTTAAAAGCTATTTATCACGTGGAAACTCGCGGCTTTTTTCTTCTATCCTCTCTCATCCGCCCTTTCCTCCCAATTAATTTCCTGTCTTTCCTTCCTTTAATTATCCCACGATTTCACCTCTCGAGCAGTCGAATCACGAGTGAAGACTGTCAGTAATATTCACTCCTTCCTTTTTCTTCCTGAGCTCATCGTGTATGCCTCTTCGTCTGTGAGCCTTCGGAGACAGAAGGGCATGGAGGGATGGTTGAGGAATCGGTGGCCCAAGGTGAAAACTTATCCGATATTATTATTATTATTATTATTATTATTATTATTATTATCCTTGATCGATACTCTAATCGAATCTATTGGATTATGGAAATCGAAATAAATAAACACTTGGAGAATTTTAAGACTGAGAATTATTATTAAAAATTATAAGACTCTAGACAGTCAAGAGGTACTTTACTGAACGAGGACTTACAACGAACTAACTAAACATTACTGGTGAGGCCCACGTGAAACTCCTCTCCAGAGGGCAATATAATTTTTCCTTTCATCCTTAACCCTTGGACTTTTCTTTCTTGACCCTCTCTGGTCACCAGAGGTATTCTCTGGGACTTTTTCTTTTTTTTTCCATTATAACATAAAGGAAAGGTCCCACAGTAACAAAGAAATAAATATTTTCTAAGTCCGGAAATATAAAAACTTTAGAAGAGTGAATTTTGAACCCGAGGGAAAACCCCGAAATCCAACAGAACCTAATTTAAAAATCTGATCTACTTTAAGAAATAAAAATCGGTATTAAGGTAACAGCAAGGGAAATTATTCAGTCTTACTGATTATTTTATTAGATCATCAGATTCTGCGTGGAACTCATAATTTATATTTTAGTCCGTCTGATGGGAGCATTTCAACTCAAATGAAATTTTCTCCTTAAATATTGACGTCGTCTGCATCCTCTTCTCTATTTTTCGCACTTCCATGATTCTGCCTCTCAATTCGTACTTTCACTCGTCTTGTACAACTACCTACTACCATCCCGAGTGGTTTTCCTTCCTACCTCAAGTTACCCTTTAAACTTATGTCAATGTACTCAAGAGAGAAATTAGATTTCCCAGGAAAACATCACTAAATTTATCATTCCCGTTCCCTGCATCGGCCTGGTCACCCCACTCGACTACTAATGAAGTTGCCTGCTCCCTCCAATCGGTTTCTTTTGCTTCAAGATTTTTCCATTTCATCATATTCAGGATAAAAGTAAATTCAGGTCACAGAACTGAGTAAGGCATACACTCCGCTTCATATTATATATTCACTGATGACAAATACTAAAGGTCCCATGGATTCATATAAATAATGAGCATATAAATAATGAGCACTTCAATTTGTATTCGATAAATATTCACTTATAATACCACAAGAGCTTCAAAATTATCGGGCATTTCCTGAAAGGTTCGCTGTAAACAACTGAAGAATTTTTTTTAGGCTAAAAAATCGAGCGATTTTTTCTGAAAAACTTGATGATTTGATTTATCTGCAGGGAACCTTGAGGGAAATGCGAGACAATTTTGAAGCCTGTATGGTATTCGAGGGATTATTTTTTCGAATTGTGCAATTCTATTGGTCGATATTGGGGTCGGAAAAATAATCAAAAATATTTTTCTTCAGGTTTTGATTTTCCTTATTACCCTTATTATGAAAGTATAAACATAAAAATGAAGTTCGCCCGAGTCGAAATATCTCGAAACACGTAGGACTAGTTCCTCATTGGTCAAGTCGAACCGCCAAATTCAAATTCGGCGCACGGGAGTGCGCAGTAGGTCTCGTCTAATTTATTTTGCATTGGACTCTCCCAAATTCAATTTTCTCATATTTAATGTTATATCAACCCAATATGATTCAAGCACATCTGAAATCGAATGCTGTCGAGGCAGCAGTGACAGCTGAGAAAACAATTAGCCTTGACTACCCCTAAGTGTGTTGAAGAGATTGTTAATCATTTACACCGCATGACAGCCTTGAATGGGTGCTTTATTCACTCGTGATACCTATGACCCCGACTCTGGCTCCTTCAGGTTTTTGTTGACGCAATGAATGGGTAAGTAATGTCCAATCAATCATAATTGAATTGAATAGCTATAGAAGGGCAACAATGGTATACCGATTATTGTGTATCAGTGAGAGGTAGTTGCTCTCCAGGTGAAGGCCAATCCTGGGGTCTCGATGATCGAGAAATCCATGCAAGACTGCCTGAATCATTCACCTCTTTTTTTATAATTTGTATCCAGCTTTTTTTTTAGCTGTAACAATATTCATTGTCCATGGGACCGGCAACAGCGCCACCTCCATGTGGCGGTCAAACTCACAATTACCAGAAAACTTCCTAACGGCCTAGTGACAAAATGTACTATTTCAAAGTGAGTACCAAAAACCAACTGTAATTGAGATTGAAGATAATGCACTTGAAGAATTTCATTGAAGATCACACGCTTGTCTCTCGTGGCAATCATAGTAGTATGTAATTGAAATAAATTAATTAGACTGTGAAAATTTATAACAACAAACGGAATTAAACAGTGTTATTCAAGACTATGAAAAACTCTTATTTTCGGAATAATAGTATTCGTGGAGGGAAAAAATATTCTCCTGTTTTATAGACACGTGCAATTCTCTTTGAATATACTTCATATTGCCAAGAATTCTTCGTACGTATAGAATGTACTTCACGTATACACGCGGACCTCTCGAGCGGATATTACTCGAGGATTTACGATTGAATTCGATGGAACGATGTAATACAGTATTACGAAAGAAAAGGCTTATTCGCGGATGGTCTCCTTCACATATGGAGTTGTCGGCTAAATTCAAGCGGAATGACGGTATTGATTTCGAGAAAATATAGTCCTTTCGAAAACTGATATTGACATTCGTATACGTCGATAGCTCACTTTGAATTTAATCACATTTTCGTTGTTATCTGAGGCACTCATCACTTTTGCCACTTGCGTCACATTCGTACGGAAAAAAATTACTGAAAATTGAATCTTAGGAAACGATTTACGATTACGACGAGAAGCGCAAAACGATCAGTAGTTCAAGTTCAAAAGAAAATATTCGGAATTAAATTTTATCCTGTAGAAGGATAATTATTAGTTTTATATATTTTTTAAGGTGAATATATATTTTTTAAGTTGAAAGGGGATGATGAGAATTGTATAAGGCAAATTTTCACGATTTTCTGAATTTTTAACATTTTCTAAATTTTTCAAATGTTTCCGCCGCCCGCCTCTATACCAATCTCGTGCAATAATTTCCATTCTCCCTCGGTTTACGCAATAATGTCCAAACTTCTGTGATTTTTCGAATTTTAAAATTTTTTTCAATTTTCCAAATTTTCCGCCGCCCGCCCCCATACCGAACTCGTGCAATAATTTCCATTCTCCCTCGGTTTACGCAATAATGTCCAAACTTCTGTGATTTTTCGAATTTTAAATTTTTTTTCAATTTTCAAAATTTTCCGCGCCTCGCCCCTCGGGCAAAATTTCACCCTCCAGATTCTCAAATTTTCTAAATTTGTGACATTCTTTGAATTTTCAAAATTTTCTGCGCCTCGCCCCTCAGACAAAATTGATTCAATAATTTGCAGCCTCCATCGATTTCCGCGTTGATCCTCAAATTTTCACAATTTTCTAAATTTCTGACATTTTTTGAATTTTCAAGATTTATTTCTAAAAAAAATGTCAAATTCTCTTAATATTATTCTCAACGCCATTCTCAAAATAAAATTAATCAAGAATAAGGCCGAAATAGAATTTAAGATGCATAAGTCCCTTCACCCAGGACAAATGTGTTTCTTCAACTTCCCAATGAAGAAAACAGATTTAAATTACTATCGGAATTTTCTGTATGAATTACGACAATTACTGGTAACCGTCGGCGGTTCGGGATACATGTAAACTATTTATGCATGAAAAAGGATGCCCATTAGCTCCAACTCCGGGTGAGTAGACTGGAAGTGGTTGTTCATTCATGAACTTTGACGCCAGACACAGCGTTGGCCTGTACTACTCACAACGTACAAAACGCATGTATTTGTTGCTAACTCGTAAGATAACAAAACTTTCTAAAAAGACTATCGGTATTGCGTCTCGATTCGATTCTAATTACTCCGCTTGATATTAATTATCGAAATATTTGCATTAGAATTAATTAACTTGCTATTATTAAAATTTTATTTATTATTAGAATTAGAATTGTTTATTATTAGAATTTTATTTAGCATTAGAATTACAATTGCTTATTATTAGAATTAGAATTGCTTATTATTAGAATTAGAATTGCTTATTATTAGAATTAGAATTACTTATTATTAGAATTAATTAACTTGATGCTTTCCCATTCCGTATTATCGCTCGATTCCACCCTATCCGTCATTTTTAAATTAATCTTACATATTGTTGTTGCCCAAATTGACAATATGACAGTAAAAATACCCCTAGAATAATCTAAAATTAAAATTATAATAATCGATTTAAATTATCACCTAAATATCATCAAAATCTCGTAAAATATTCACTGACTCTATAAATATATAATAAAAAATTATACCCGTTGGATTATTGCGTTGGATTTTTATTCCCAAACGAACTTTTAAACAATAAAAAACAATCACTTCAATCCACGGCATTAAATATTTATTTATGTCTCCCATATCCGATAGTCCCTTTATTATTTATTCATAACTTATGGAAAACACTTTGAATTTCACTAAAATTTCATTGGTTCTCAAATTTTAATTGGAATACTACATTTTTAATTCGTGTGATGATAATAAAAAGGGGAATTTTTTTTTTCTGCCCGTGGGAAATAAAATTGATGGTACATTACCCTTAATAGTATCAAGCGTCGGCTCTCCGAGTGTTGTATTGGTCTCCCTCCACCAAATCGAATGAACACAAAAAATAAATCCACAGTAAGAATAATGATTTCTTCTGTCTCATCGACTAGGTCCAATATTTATAAAAGCCATATATAGCGAAAAGGGGATAAGGTTATGAATGAAGTCCGTTAACTTTACGCAATTATCCCATCGACACAAGCGAAAGTTGAGTAGGGGCTCAACAACTTCAACAAACTTTCCACAACCGGAAATTCCGCGTAGCTTAACACCTCTCCCTCTATCCCCATTTCCCTATTCTCTATCTCTCTCTTAGTAGTTACCTTGATACCTTGAACTTCACTCCGAACAATTTTATCACCACGTGACCAAAAGCGCAACAATTTCTCCGAAAATAATGGAATATTATCTATTTTTTCGATTTTTGTGATAACAGAAATATGAAATATTCAATTTTTCAATTAACGTGCGACTGTTGACGAATCAAACACGAAATATCAAACTCGATCTGCCCGATGTGAAAACAACGGAGTGAAAACCCGAAACAATCGAAATTTTTTCAAATACCTCTGCCCATAAAAACCGAAAAATCGAGTATAAAAAAAAAAAGATCACCAGAAGTCTATAATTTCACAGTAGTCACCACCGAAATATCCATATAAATTCTACTTCAGTAGTTCACTTTGATTGAGTTATTCAATCAATATCCTCCGATCATTTCCAACTGTCTGAAAACCGTTATCTCGATATATCGAAATGATTCCCAAAGGAATAGTCCACTATCGAATAACAACTGCAACAGCAATCTTTCACTAAAGTCTTGAATATGTGAAAGTGAAAAAAAAAAAAGCTGGATGGTAATTCCACTGACTAATATGATAATTAATTATCCCCCGGTGGGAATGCGGCGTAGACGTTTCCTCTGATAGCAAGTCGCGGACTGAGGTATCACCGGCGACTACCACTCACCCTCGAATCCACCACCGGACAAGGACCCTCCGTAACCCCACCACAGATCGCGTACCAACGCGCGCTTTACGCTTTTATATACGTGCTGATGGTGAAGTGAGGGAGGAACGTCACTGTCACCACCGGCTACTGAATCTTCCCCTACACACAAGCGCCATCAATAGCCCCCAACTATGCTCAGTCTCCCCCACCCTATCGGCTCTCGGCCAACTTCATCCTCGGAATATTCATGAGTCCTCTCGTATACATTTCTAGTGATATACAAATAGCGAGAATTCGATATATCGATAGACCGACCAACCCTGTTTTCAAACAATACCCGCAGCAATAAATATATATGCTAATAATTTTATATGACCTGTTATACCCTGTGTGGGAGGTACTTATATTTATTGTTGGTTCTAGGCTAAATCGGATAAATCCCATCAATAGTTTATAGGTATTTTAATGTGAGAGTTTATTAATTTAATTATGTCATCTGGCTGATTAAAATTATTAAGAATAACACACGCCGGACCTCGATTTGCGGCTAATAATTTTATATGACCTGTTATACCCTGTGTGGGAGGTACTTATATTTATTATTGGTTCTAGGCTAAATCGGATAAATCCCATCAATAGTTTATAGGTATTTTAATATGAGAGTTTATTACTTTAATTATGTCATCTGGCTGATTAAAATTATTACGAATGACACACGGCGGACCTCGATTTGCGGCTGGGGCTGTCTCTTGGATACCCAGACTACTTCTTAAATACATAATTGATTGGATGTCATTACTTGGGTAGCATTATCCAGTTATGCTGGCAAGTGTCACCTTGACAATGCTGGATATTCATTTATTCAACAATAACGCAATTGACCAAAATCTGGGACATAACAGATCTATACGTGAATACGACATTATATGGTATTCCATTTTTTTTGGATATTTTTATTTTATGTGGCCATGTGAACTCAAGGTCAACAAAAGCTTCATTAATGAGCAATTAATGATCAAGTAATGAGCTTTAATAGGATTAAAACCTGCACTGATTTTTATTCAATTTTAACTTCAGATACATGTCAATATCGAGATTGACTGATTTGATTTTTTTAATGCGTTTTTTCTAACGCGCCTTTCACCAAAGAATAGACTTTTTTTGTCTATTTTTGGATGGATGAGAATCGCGGAATGTTGAACAATTTCTCGCTTGCCAGGTTGAACTGTATTTTTTAAATAAATTTCGTTGATTATTTCTCTCACTGGAATTTCAATCAATCAGAGTATTTGAGGCTGTCAAACAGTTTCATCGGATATTTCTTTGAAATTTCCGATTGATATTCACTACCAGCTTTTCAAATGTTCTTCATCTTCCAACGCATTTGACGTTGAAGTCTCTGTGAGATAGACGAAAAAGTAGGTTATCCTCAACTTGATTGAACAATGAGTCCCTCCAGCTAATTTTTTTGACAGATATTTATGAATAATGGAACGGTAATGTGCCGGTAAGAATAGAAATAGAGTGGGTTAAATTCTGCAGAAGAATCCGAAAATATCTGATAATTTCTGAGCACCAGTGATATTACTCTTACATATCTGAAATAAAAAAAAAAAATTACGAAAATTCAAAGTGGAGATTCCATTAAAACTTATCATTTAGAAAATTTTCCATTATTATTTTCTTTTCAAATTGTCTAACATCATTGAAGACTTTAAATAAAGAGTTAAAATTCCAAGATAAAAATGATATATTATTGAAAATACTAAATGAAGATTTATTTATGTAATTTGTATGATCGATCGAACTTACCTGTAAGTGATGATCGATTGAAATTATATGAGCTGGCTCTTCCGAGGAGATCAAATAGGTAGTATAATTTTTACTCTGGTACTACCTTTGATCTCTTCGGACGAGC